CTGCCCAGGAAGCTTAAGAAGGGCAAGAGGGCAGGCTTGGATTTCATCCTCATGAAGGCTTTTCCGCGTGCCAGAATGGTAGTCTATAGGCGGCTGGCTGAGGAGCTGATAAAGCATTTAGCTAGCACAGGAGGCTGTTTACCCAAAATTCAGAAGTAAAGAAAATATTCACTCTGAGGAGAAACAAGACCAGTCTTCCCATGCTGGAGAAAGCGAGGCGAGAAGTCCTGTGGCTGCGGGTCTGTATCCTTCCTCCAAAGGACAGAAAATGCCACCTGTGTGCCCACTACTTCCGAGGGAGAGAAGCTAGCCCCTACCTCATCACCGGAGGGCAGAAGTTTCTAGTCTTACTAAAACATACCTGAAGACGGTTGCTGGAGCCTCGAGTTTCCCTCTGGGCCCCTGTCCAAGCTGGACGTCTCTGTAGGAACTTGTGTAACTCATCCAACCAGGGAATTGAGTTGCAGTGGTAAGGAACCCTTCAAGGTGAGATTGCCTTATCAAATTCAGCATTTGAGTGTGTCAGGTTAGGGTGAGGTCCCAGCAAGTGCCTGAGAAGCTGAGTCTCCACTCAGAACAATCAACCACTGACTGTCATAATTACTGCTAGGTGACTCCAGGAGCCAGCACGCATTGAGCACCTTGGGCATGTGTGGGCACACGGTCCCTTGCATTATCTCATTAATTCTCATAGCGGCCATCTCAACTTCAGACTCTTCTTATTCTTACCTTACAGGTGACACAAGAAAAGGGGTCACTTTCCCAGGGCCCAGGCAAGTTGGGTGCAGCTCATCCTCAACCTTGTGTTGGGAGGGATCTGATTGGTAGTTATACCATGAATCCTAGCACTGTCAGAGAATATCCATTCGCAAGCCCTGTGTCACAGATGGGGAAGCTGAGGCCCAAGGAAGGAAATAGTAGTGTGGATTCCACAGACAACATCAGAGTCTACTCGTGAAGAAGTATCCTGTGCCTTAATGTCCCCACTAATTGGGAGATCAAATTGCAGGCTTGTATTTTGCCTTCCCCAGATTCCAAATTTGCATCAGTCCATGTTACCAGTAAAACCTTTTGGGAACAGAGTTCATCTCTTGCTTCAGGAATTATACAAACTAGGAGACTGTGTAGCCTGAATCACTAGCTTCTCATGATGCAAACTCTGGCTTTTATTGCTATTGGCTGGTGCTCTTCATCAAGCTGGTTCATGTACTGGTAGGGTGGGGAAGATGGTATTCACAGGAGGATACTGTATACCGGGCCACTGCTGTCTAGTGCCAATGGGAGCCTTCAGGGTAAGCTACCTATGTAACTTGAAAGTTTCTAGGAGCCACATTGAAAGAGGTAAAGGGAATACACCAATATTAATTTTCATAATTTGTTTCCAGTAACCTGGAGAATACCCTCTTGTTAGTTCCTAGGTGGTACAGAGTTGCTAGTGAGATGTTTCCTGGTTTAATTTCACAGTAGGTTTTCACAACCAGTCGTACATTTTCCACTACAGGACATCTCACTAGCCGTGTTTCAGTGATGTGTGGCCGGAGGCTGGCGTATTGGGTGGTCCTGTTCTGAGCCTTTTTCTGATCTCAGAGGTAATGTGCTATCCTTAAAAACCTTCCCTGTCCAGGTTATTATCCTTTTTTCCAGTGTTCCACACAGGATTTTTACATTCTGTGAAAATGCTCACTTTGTCCTTTGTCCTACTGTGGTGGGAGTGCTTGCAACATGCATGGTGGACTGAGGTGAACTGAGGCAGAGGGGGTGGGGTGTGGGTGGGAAGATAAACAGTGGGAGGAACCATGTTCTTCCTGCGCAGGGCAAGGTCTTGGTCTTGGTGGGTGCCGGAGCTGAGGTTCTTGATCCTCAGAGACGAGACTCCTGATTTGCAACTCCGACGCTCCTGTTGTTGCACTGGGCTCACCTCTGTGGCCTGAACAGAACCCTCATTAGGAGAGAGCCCCACCTTGGTGGCCGGAGCATCCATTTGATACTTATTAGGTGGCAGGACCACAGCTGTGTCTGGGCTGTGCTTGGAGAACCATAAAATGCTCGAGTCAGGCTTTCCCCTCTAGGGGCTGGGATGGCAGGTGGAAGCCGGCATCTTCCTGGCATCTCCTGACAACAGCAGTGCCCAGGGCTCCTGCAGAGGGCAGGATAAGGCTGGCAGAGTGGGAGGGATGGGGGGTGGCCTAGGACAGTAAGGGGCTCCTGGAAGCCTGGCCAGGAGCCAGGTGGGAAGCACACGTGACCAGCTCAGACACAGGGCTCCTGGGCTCATTGGTGGATCTGGGGATGGCAGAACCCATCACTTGCCCTTCACCCCCAGCTCCCAGTTGGTACTTCCTTGTCTCTGGAAGGCAGGAGCTGAGGCCAGAGCTCTGCATTCAGATGGCCTGGGTTAGAATTCTGGCTCAGCCACCTACTGTGTGCGTTTGGCCAGTGCCTCTCAGCATGGGCCCCTTCATCTGTGCATAGTGTGCCGACTTCTCCCTGGGTATCTCTGAAGTGATCAAGGAGAGGTTTAGCACCACGGTAGGCCAGTATCATCCTCCTTTCCTGGGGAGAAAGCTATCCACCATACTCCTCGTCTGTCCAGGACACAGCAGAGATTCTTTATTATTTTTCTCAGTTAACTCATTTTAGGGGTGACAATACAACATCAATGTGCACCTGTATTGGTAGAAGGCAATCTCTTGATATATTTACATATCAAAAGCACTTGCAGGTTTGTATGTCGTAGAAGCCAATGCGGAGTGGATACGTGTGTCCTATATTTCAGGTCATAGCGGTACTTGAAGGTACAGGGAGGGGCACTAGGGGGTGCCAGAGAGGTCGCCTTCCAAGGTCCAGTTCCTAGTTCAGTTTTCCCATGTGTGCATTACCATTTTTTTCTCTTTGAGCATGCATGACTTTTCAACTTAAACACTAAAAATACCCTTCTGTCCTCTCAGCAATTACCCAGGGTGGAAAAAGTCCACATTCAGAAGGAAGAGCGTAGAAGTACAGCGCTGTTCCTTTGGTAGGCGCTCGAGGAGCCGGGTCCCTACCTGAGAAGATGGCTCTTTCAAACATTCACTTTCCATTCAGGCATTTTGCCAGGGTAGAATTCAGGCAAGAGGGAAATAGCGAGGGAGCAATTGCACGCGAGCACACATTCATTCCACAAACCAACTTTTCACACACATGCACACAGTGCAACCCAAGGGTGACACAAGTGCCCCTCAATAGCCTCCTCACCCACATACAGTGAAGGAAGGGTCCTCTGCAAGGTCCCAGTCCCAAAGCCTTCTCGATCTACAAACACTTCCCCAACAACCAAACCTTTTGTATGCCCCAAGAATCAAAATATTTCACATACACATGAACACCCAATAATCAAAGGAGTTTCATACATCCATCTAATAATCTAAACAATTTGTACACATGTACATCAATCACTAGAGAGACAACACACACACACACACACACACAAGCACATGCACACATCCAAAGGGCTTTACTTACACACCCAATAATCAAAGCACTTCATGTATGCACAGTAATAATCAAAAAGCTTTACACACACACACACACACAATGGGAACAATCACATGGTTCCACAACCCACTCAATGCTCAAACCACTTCCTGCACTCACACCACTAACCAGACATGCACACACATTCCCCAGCGACCAGAGCACTTCACACATACATATACGCACTCCCAACCAGAGTGCTTTGTGTACAGCCCCCAACAACCACAACATTTTTTCCTACACCCCAACCATTAAAGCTCTCCGTGCAGTGCTTCCCCTGCAAACCCCTGAAGCACTCGGATTTGCTTTTCTGCAGCAGCAGATACTTGAACACCAAGACATTAGACTGCGACTTTCTTTTCAGATTAATGAGCAGAAAAAGATTTGAGGCAGGGAGGGGGGGCTGGAATGGTGGGAGAGAGCAATTACACCCAAATCTTTTCTCTGTTGATTAGGGATTCCTTCTCCAGCCTGCTTTGGCTCCGGCTAAATCTTTTTCTAATGAGATGTGGCTTATCCAGATCAGGGCACTGAGAAAAAAGTTGCAATTAACTTTAAGAAGAAAAGGAGTGAATGAGAAAGAGAAGGAAGTGTGGAGGGGGTGGCAGGGCCTTCGGGGAGGGGTGGGGACAGGGGCTTGCTCTTGGAGGCCAGGAGAGCCAGGGATGGAAGAGGCTTCCTGCAGGTGGAGTGCCAGCGTGGCCACACTGGCGCCATCAGCCCTTGGAGGCTGTCCCTCCTGCTCTGTGGACTATGTGTCTGGGTCAGGCCTCTCTCTGTGTGCCTTGGACCCAAATCTCATCAAGGGTGGAGGGTTTCTGGCCTTGAGGCTTTATCCCACCATACACCTTCCTCTCAGCTGCCTCTTTGCTTTTGCCTGCTCCTCTGCAGAAGACACGGGCTCTCCAACACCTACCAGGAGCCTCTGTGACCTCCACCCCTGTGCCAGGTCAGTGCCATCTCTTACCTTAGGAGCTGCTGGGGTTCAGCCACACCCTGTGGCCCAGCCAAGAGCCAGAGTCTTGAAATAGGTCTCAGGTACAAGTACAAGTGCCAAGGCTGGGATCCCCTTGTCCTGCCTCACTCTTCCAATCTAGGTGTGGGCTCTTGCATTGTTTTCATGCAAGGGATGTAGAGAGACTAGAGAGGCTCAAACTGAAGGGCTGTTTCACACCAGAGTGGGGAACTACCCTTGAGCTCTTGGAACCAGCCCAGAATAACCTTAGTGTGCCTTGCACTGCCAGGGTCAAGCTTAACCAACCCATAAATGTGGACTAGTGGCTTCCTTTCTCTGGGGTGGAATGTCTCATCTGTGAAGACAAATAAAGGGCATGCGGCAGACTGTGTAGCCTTTGCCAATCCCAGTACCCTCCATCCAGCGAGGGGCACAGACACCACCTGTGCATGTCCCTATTTGAATCATCTCACCTCTGTTTGCAGACTCTCCCCTCCCCTCCTCCCCCCGCCACCGCCTCACACATCCCCAGGACATGTATGCCTTCAGCAAATTCGATTACATCCAAAGACTAGTTTGTATCCTCTTCGGTGATAAATGTCCAGTGATCCCTGATAGCACCTTACACAAATGTTGAGGTCTCTAACCTGCTCTTCATGGGGGGAGGGAGGAGTCCCTTAGAAAATAACTTCGCATCCGTATACCAGCTGAACTGGGGCACCCAAGCTTGTACTAGCTACAACTAGGCCAGGAGGGCTGGATTGGAGGAGCCAGGGGGTATAGTCACTGTCCCCTCTGGTCACAGACAAGCATGTACACTGAAGCATCCAAAGCCAGATACCTTTATTCTGCTTTCCGTTTTGCATCCTGTTGACCTCCCTCTGAGCGGTAGAAGGGATTTTTATTACATCGCTGGTGACTCCGTAGGAAAATGATCTGAACCTTGCACCTGACCATCTTGCTCGGCATGCAAAGAAGAAAGGCCTCTGTGTGCTGGTGGCCACCATGGACACCTGGCTCCCTTGTCAGATGTCTGGGTGACTCCTTACCAAATAAACCATGCAGATGACCCCAGGCTGGGGGACAGAGGAGCTGAGCCCAGATTTCCTATGTCTAGGTTCCCAGGAGGTCACGGAAGGTCCCAGCCTTAAGCCTCCGCGCCTGGCACCTGAGTTCCTGGGCAGCCCTGTTCTCCACTCCTGCTCTCCCTGTGTTGGCTCCTGAGGGCAGTCTGAGCTTTCTACCATCTCCCCCTGGCTGTTGTCAATCTAATAAGCATACGTGCTAGAAATACTAGCTCTAGTGCTAAGTCAGAAATTCTTCTTAAACATATAGCAAGGTCAGATGAAGGGAAAAAAATAGAAAACAAAACACAAAACTCCGAAACAGAAATTGGACACAGAAGGGCAGATGTAGACTGAACAGGAAGTGCTGGCCCTAGGCTAAATGAAACAGCTGTCACCATTGTTCGGACCAAGAACTGCTTTTGCAAACTCCACTCGGGCCAGGCGCAGAAAGCAGATGTTAATAATTACAGCACATGAAACGAAGGGCACAGGATTAGGCAAGTGACGAAAAAGAAATGGTACTAGTAGATTTATAACTCGCTCAGGCAAATCTGCTCAGGCTGGTGTGGGGGGTGGGCCGGGCAGCCTCCCTGCAGAGGCCCCCCGCCCGCCCCGATCCTTTCCTAGTTTGGCCTTTGAACTTCTGGGATTGTCTCAGAATTGGGGGATTGCTTTGGTTGCTTCATGATGGTGGACCACGGAGGTTTCTCCTAGCTTCCTTTCCAGGGACCTATGAGTGCAGGGCCACAGGCAGTGACTGCTGACCTACAAGAAAGAGATAAAATCCCCAGTCCTCAGCCCAAGGGTCAGAAGGGCATCTCTGGGTGGCCAAATGGTTGGATGGCTGGCCTGGTAGACAGGGACTTTCGAGGACGCGAGGCCAGGCAGGCATCCTAGAGATCTTGATTCCACTGCAGCGCTCACGCTTGGAGCTCAAGTTCTTTGCAGCTGAAATTGATTCACACTTTCGAGCTGGCCGTCTCCTCATGCCTTGGAGAAGGCCAGGGGTGCTGGAGAGTGTTAGGGTAGCTGCGAAAGGGAGGCAAAGCAGCTCTCATGGTCTGATTGCAGAAGTAGAAGAAGCAGTCTCCACATGTTTTGTGAACATTCCGCTGTGTTTTTCCACGTGAGCCCTAGTTGTAAAAAGCAAAACAAAACAACACACTTACATAAAAAAAAAAAAAAATCTTCTTATCCCACCACCCGTTAGGAAGGATGTCTCTAGGAAAGGTTAGAAAGAAGGTAAACCATGTGTTTGCCATCTTTGGGCCTGATATGGAAACCATATGCTTAAATACACTAGCAAACATACTTAATATAACACTCTCTTTTATTAAATGTGGTTTTATAAACGCTCTCCCCAGCCAGGGCACCTTCTCCGTGCTGGAGGCTGGAACTTGGCAAAATAATCTTCCTGCTGTTACATCTATTGATACACATTTTTTGAAAATGAGTCTCGGACCCTTGGAAAATAGACTGGTTCTGATTATTATTGCAAGAGGGAAGGGGCACACGAGGGCATCTTTTTTCCTCTGATAAATTAAAAGAACTGTAACGGGTGCTTTCTGCAACCTGTAAAAAAGGCAGAGCCATCTGTGATTCATTTAGCAGCTCCTTACAGAAGATTTATTTGATTAATTCGGTCAGAAGAGAGAGAATATGGATTTTTCCTCTTCTCAGAACGGCACATACGCACTTGCACAGGCCCACGTGCCCCCACCCATGGGTAGCTATCTCAGGAATGAAAAATGACTAATCGTGTTATTGGAACTGGCAAATGTAGGGCCTTGGTGGTGAGATAGAGAGCTCCCACCCTGCCAATGGGAGGGCCAGTTTCAGCATGGATTTAATATCCTCTGTCCCAAAGAATGAGCTAGAGAATAACACAGGAGCCCTGGATCACTTTGATTAGGCATGATTGCTGGGTGTCAGACACTGTGCTGAGCTCTTTGTATGATTATCTCATTGCCTGTCACAAGGAATTCCTCCGGGGAGGGACTGTTATTGTCCTCACTTTACAGACAGAGAGGCTACTCCGTTTCCAGTGCATCTCTGCTCAAAGTTCTCTGCACTTTTGCAGATGGTGTTTTGCTTTCTCAGTCTCTCATGACTAAAGCGGGTGAATGAAGGCTGGTGTTTGCCTTTCTTCTATAGTGAGTCACCAGGGAAGGCATTACAGGGGCTCTCAGTTCTAGCTTGACCAGTGAAAGACAGTCTTTTAGTCTTTCTAGTCTGGTTTTCTGTAGTGTGCGTGGCCTGAAATTAAAAGCAATTATTTATAGGCTGCTGTCACCTGCTGGTAGACAGGAACAGTCCTTGAATTGGTCCTGGGAGAAGGCCAAGAAAACAAAAACAAGAGGAATCAAAATCTTACAAGATATTTCATGCCCCTGAAGGCTTTGCACATATCACTATCAGAAGTGATCAATATACTGCAAGCAAATGTGCTCCTGCTCTATCTCCTTTGCTCAGAGCAGACATTACTAATAGATCTCAGATTTAGTGGCTGCTTGCTCCTAAAGGCCTCTCAGCAAAGCCCTCCAGGCAGCCTCTACCAATAGATCTGTACTGGCATGATTTGGAAGCTTGGTGCACTTCCTTCCATTTCGTATTACATTTTCTAGAGGGTGAAACAGGAGCCTACAAGGGAACATCAGCTATAAAAGCAGTTAAGAGGTCAGCCCCATGCCTTGAAGTTAGTGCTCTGGCTCTCCTGACCAGTGTCTTTCACACCTACATCAGTGAGGCTGATCCAAGCCAGTGCAGTGGATCACAAGCCTGTGGAATTGCTAGGTCTTGCTCCTCTCCCCAAACAGAATGTCACTCAAGCTGCTGGAAGACAGGATAAAAGGCATCCTCTGAAAGACCACAGAACACTGAAGTCTCTTTGTCATTTTAAAATAATTTAATCACCCAATCAGGACAGGGTGGTGGGGGCTGAGCCCAAATGTTACAGCCCAGGGTCTAACATACTAGAAGTGGAAGGTTGCTCTCTGGAGACCCAGGGAACTCCCGGAGAGACTCCATGGAAAGAAAATAGGGGTGTGTAGGGAAGAGGGAGCCCCCAGCCCAGAATTCCTGCCCCCCCAGCATCTTTTCCCCTTCTAGGACCTGAGGGTAATTGCTTTGGGGAATTAGAGCCTTGACTCCTAGTTTTGCTGAAAATCTGACTGGTCAAAAAGCCCTTTCTAGGGAAAGGGAAAACTTCAACCAGGTATTTAGCTCTGGGACCCAGAGCCTTAGTCTAAAAACTAGTATATTTTGAAGGTCAGCTGTCATCTTATAGTGGCAGCAAGGTGCCATGTGGGGCCTCCGGGCACTTGCTTCCAGAATAAGTAAGAATGTGTGGAACTTACCTATCAGCATCTGCGTTGCCTGCATTGCTCCTGGCTGTTTCTGTGGTTGAAGATACTTAGTTTAAGCATGCTGTCTTCAGTCCTGTTTATCCTCTGCAGTTTCACTTTCTGTGAAGAAAAGTTTGCTCACTGAGTGCTGCTCTAGCCCAGCTCAGCCTCTTGAACATATTCAAATATTGAATTAGCAAAATCCTAAAGAATGAGGATTTTTACAAGGCTCAAGTGATACCCCTTAAAGGGTTTTGTTGGTCAAGCATCATTTATTGCATAAAGACATTTGTCTGTCTTGCAGAAATGGGTTTCTAGCCTTGACTTAGCTATTCTAGAATTTATATGTAATTCCAAATATTGTGTTGTACATGATAAGTATTTTTAATCAAAATTTAAATTAATTATAAAATATTTAAGAATAAATGAGTAATAAAAACAAATTAAAAAAAAAAGAAATGGGTTTCTAGGATGTTTCTGAGTGAGAAGGGATTGGACAGCCCTCAGGAGGAGCTGGTGTGGGGGGCTGGGTAAGGAAAGAAGGTTCTTATTCCATTTAGAACTTCTTTTGTGGATAATGAGTGGGCTGAGGGGTGCATGAGCTGTCCCCAAAGACCCTAATGAAAAAGAAGGATCATGCATCACTGAAGTCACAAACAAACTGAGCTGCTTGACCTTGGGCACATTAGATAGTGTGTCTGGTGCTTCCATGTGAGAGGAAAGGGTCGTAGTGAAATAAGGTAATCATAGCACCCACTGCACAAGTTTGCGAGAATTAAATTAGATAAAGCGCTCATGATAGAGACTTACACATAGCATGGAGAAAATACAACTTCCTAAATGCCCATCAACCCACATGTGGATAAAAGTTGAATGTGGTATATCCATACAGTGAACTATTATTCACCCAGTAAAGTACTGATACAACCCACAAAATGGACAAACCTGGAAAGTATTAAGTGAAAGCAGCAAGATGCACACAGTCACATGTTGTGTGGCTCTGCTTATGTGAAGTGTAGCGAATAAACAGCTCCATGGAGACAAGTGGAACGATGGTTGTTTATGGCTGGCAGAGGAAGGAGAGGGAAGGGAGGGGACAGACAGCTAAAAAGCAGAGGGCTTGAAAATATTCTCACATTGACTGTGGAAACCATTGCCCACATTTCTGTATGCTAAAATTCACTGACTTATATCCTTTAAAAAGACAAATAGAGTAGCCTGTGACTGTCTTAATAAAGCCATTGGAAGAAAGCATTGACTTGTTTTTGAAGTAAGTGTAACTACAATAACAGGATGGTGGAAACTTTAACTACTATCTATATTCATATTTAAACCATGCACACTAAGCATACCCATGGGCCAAACGTATCCTCACTTTCCCTGTCTGCTGAGAGAGAAGGGAATTCTTCGCTCAAAGCACTGTTGGGAGGAACCAAATGAGCTAATTCAGCTGCACCACATGGCACAGAGTCTGACATATGCTGGGCATGCTGGAGACAGTGGTGGACATTGTCATGACAGTGCCGCGACCCCGTGCTGCAGGGTTCGGGGGACAGTCTGGTTGGCAAGAGAGGGAGTTGCAAAGGGGCAGAGTTCAGATGCTGTAACATTTGTACACTGAGTCTACAATATCTGTCTACAATATCTTAGGTCCTAGGTTATAATAAAAAATGAAATTTTTAAAAGATACCTTTTAAAAATAAGCTTGTGAACACATCTATATCAAAAATAGCATTATTAGAGGGATCTCTGATGGAGGCTGAGGCAAATTATGGTGGAAAAAAGTCTTCTTGATTCCTGCAGGGTAGCCAGAGGTTCTCTAAGCACTACTATTAGAATGAAGTATTTGAGACAAAGGGCCATGGTGTAAAGGGCATGAGGTGCTCAAGGGCTTGCTTTGGACCTGACTTCTTCACTCACCTACTGTTCAAAGTAAGGAAAAGGATTTCTATAGACCTCAGTGTTTTCCACAATAAAATGAGAAGCAAAGCACATCAGAGTATCCAATAACGGCATCCATCCTGTTGGCCATGTGAGTCAGACTAGCCTGTTTTAAAGGCTTCTTAGAAATTGAGATTTTACCTTTTCTCCTCAATGGTTTTGGATTCTAAGAAACTCAAAAGGAAATTCCTAGCAACGCTGGCTAGGGAAGAACCAGTAGGGAGCTGTTATCTCCATTGGACTCTACGAGACTCAAAGGTCAATATGGTCCTTTCCTCTTTGGGGCTAGACATCTTGGGGTGACTAGTGTCCTCCAAACCCATGTCTACCAGAACCTGTGGATGTGACCTGACTTGGAACTAGGTGTGACACAGCTAGGATGAGATCATTATGGTGCTTCCAGGTCCAATGCCATGGATCCTAGGAAGAGGGAAACTTGGAAATAAAGATGAACAGAGACACAGGGAGGAGAAAGCCATTTGAAAATGGAGACAGCTTGGAACCATGGTCCTATGAGTCACAGCACACCGAGGAGTGCCAGTGATTATCAGTAGCTAAGAGAGAAAGGCTGAAAGTCTCCTTCAGGGTCTTCGGAGGGAAGGAGCCTTGCTCTGAGACCTAGCCAGTACATACCACCCCCGGGATCCCTGGCTTGCGGGGTTGGCTGAGATTGCTCTGTGGAGTTTTGAGCATTTTTGTGATTGCTAATAGTCTAGAGTAGATAATGTAGCTACTCCCAGCAAGATCACATGGGCTGCATGATGTGTCACATTTCTTTGTGGTGATCTAAAATGATATCAGCTGGATGTGGTGATGCAAATTCTCCTGAGGTAGTGAGAGCCGCCCAAATGCCCGCACCTTAGCTGGACCGAACCTTGAACCTTTTGCGGTAGGAAAGCAGTCAGTACACAGTAAGTGCCTTTGCTGTACAAATAGCCTTCCAAATGTAGGACCATGGAGTGTGTGTGTGTGTGTGTGTGTGTGTGTGTGTGTGGAGGAAGGGGCAAACTATCTGAAGGCATTCTTGGAGAAAGAAAAGCCCTTTTCTTGATTTACTAAGTGTCTTGGGTAGAACATCCTGCTGAGCCCTGTGTTGCTGGGAACAATGACACATAAACTAGAGAAGGTCCCTGCGACTGTGGAGCTGGTGCATTCACTGCACACACAATTAATAGGGACACTAAAGTGACCTTATTAGGCACCTAATAAATGGTAGTTATTAACTGGACATAAAGCACACCAGAGAGCACAAATGTGGATACCATGTCCTACGATTCTATGGAGGGACAGCTGGGCACAGGGATTCCTAGGGCAGGCCTAGCAACTGGGCTGGGCAGTTGACAGCATGTACTCCCAGGCAGCTCTTCCACCCCATTTCCTGGGCTTCCAGCCCCTGGCATGGGACCCGGGGTAGGAGGAGGTCTTGGCAGGCCTAGGATCCCAGGCCTGTACCTTGCAGTCTGGGCTAGAATGTCCTAGACCTTCAAAGAGGCCCAAGCCTGTCAGCGAAGCCACAGGCATGATATGAGCAGCTTCGCCCTGTGCACTTATGTTCCTTGTTGCCTTGCCACCCCTGCTGGCTTTGATCTCAGTCCCATTCGGCTTGGCCCAGCTTGGAGGTCTCCTGCTGTGATGCCCCAGGATAGGTCTCCAGCTCACAGGGCTCACTCTCTCTCTGTATCACAGCCCAGATCTGGCCTCCCGCTTGCTGCATAGTGGTGGCAGGGCACCTCTGGGACCTGGAGGCGGGGGGGGGGGAGAAAAGAAGAAGTAACCTTGAGCCAGGCTGGGGTGGTGTTTGCAGGCTGGGGCAGGTAGGCAGATGCAGTGCTTGAGGGGCAGTGGGGAGCCATGCTTACCAGGCCATGTGAGTGGCAGATGAGACCCAATGAGGGTGACCTTAGTATCAACCAGGTCAGGCTTGGGGTGGGAAGACCTAGTTACATTCCAGTTGCAATCATTTCCTGCCTGGGAAACCATGGTCAAGTTCATAGTGACACTGCCTCAGCTTGTTCATCTTTGCAGTGGAGCCAATAGAGCAGCCAGCTCACTGGGTTGTTAGGAGGACGCAGAGGTTGTACGTGTTCAACCGCTGGCTCCCTGCAGTCTCTCAATGCCACAGCTGTCTTTGAGGCTGATGCCTCAGTTGGCTTGAGAGGACTGGACCTGCAGCGTGGTTCTCTGCCCTCCTTCCCTCACACCCATGTTTCCTTCCTCCCTAGCTCCTAGCCCTTCAGAGCTCTGTTGACCTCAGAAGGTCTTCTGGAGGTGCTGCCTTCATTTTCCTGCCTCCTTCTGCTCCACGTTCTCCTGTTTACAGCTGCCCAGTGGATCTTACAGCCCAGCTCAAAACCCTCTGTGAACCTCCAGGTCTACAGAGGAAATAGTTAACCTGCTTAGACCTTATTTAAGATCTTAAATAGGACCTTATTTCCTCTGCAAACTGACCCTCATCTTAACTCCTCAGGCTTCTGTGGGCCTCAGAAGTCCAAGCCCGAATTTAAGTCTTAAGTAAGGATGTGCTTTCTGAGGGAACTGTGAGCCCTTGGGACATGCAGGCCCCCCTGTGTATCCTGGTGTTCTCATTTCTAAAAGGGTCAGGGTTGCTTCTGCCTTGTTGACCGCACAAGGATGCTTGAGGATCTCATGAGTGGGGTGCATATGTTCTATGTAACCAGGGAAGAAACTCACTGGTTTGGGATCACACAGTGGCTTCTGCTCTCTGGGCTTTAGCCCATGCTGTCCCATTCATGGTCTTCTTGTCACCTCAGGTGCTACTGCACAAGTGAACATGTCATTCAGATCTGGATATGTGCTGTCTTCTGAGAAGCTGCCTTGTTTGGTCCCCTGGAAGTGACTTTCCCTCTGGTGTTTCTGGGTTCGTGCTGCTCACCCCACTCTCAGGCATGGCGTCTGATGTCTGCCCCATGGCTTCCTTTGAGGTAGCACCTTGCACCCCATACAACAGGTTCTAGAGGAGCCCTTGCTTGGAGGAAAGTGAGGATGTGGGTGGATGATGAACTGGAGAGAACGCCGGTGCCTGGAGGCCGGGGGAGGGCGGGGCGGGCCGCCACCTCTCTGCCCAGTTAATGGCCCTAAGTGACTGTCATAGGCAGCCATTTCCAGTGTGTGGCCTCAATTTTCACCAACAAATGGGACCACATTGTCTATATCAGAGTTTTGGAGGGAGAAATTTGGAGCCCAAGGAGGGTTTTATCTGGACCATGTGATACACAGACCAAACACAGGTGTTTTTTTGATTTTTTTTTTTTTTTTTTGTAATAGGGATCAAACTGAGGACCTTGCATTTGCCAGGAAGGCACTTATGCTGCCAAGCTACATCCTTGAACCTCCAAGCACAAGTTTTAAAAAATGTATATGTATATGGAGATGGGAGGGAATCTAGGGAAAGAGAGACAGTAAAAATAATGGACACTATATATAGGATGTGCCAGTTCCCCATGATGAGTATAATTACTATGTACTGCAAACATATACTATCTTTTTTATTATGTATTTGGTACAGGGTCTTACTATGCAGCTTGGATTCATAGTGATCCTCTTGTTTTCAGCCTCCTCAGTGCTGGGATTACAGGCGTGCACCACCATGTCCGGACTCAGTGGTCAGCTCAGCATGCCTGGGGTGGGGCTGGTGTGGCATGTGGTGCTGGGGATCAAACCCAGTCCCTGCACTTGCCTAAGCAGGTGCTTAGTCTGCTGAGCTATCTCATTCACCCTATATACTAATTTAAAAAGGAAAATGTATTTATTTGGCACAGGGTCTTGCTATGCAGCTCGGACTCTTAGTGATCCTCCTGTTTCAGCCTCCCCAGTGCTGGGATTATAGGCATGCTCCAACCACATTTGGTTTTGGTGGCCGGCTCTGCATGGGCCAGTAAGACATGCAGTACTGCAGATGGAACTAGGTCCTTCTCCTTGTGCTGCTGAGCTATCTCTGAGCTATCTCCTCAGCCCAGAAAATATAAATCATGGCAAAAGAGGAATTTTTAAGAATTGTAGTAATTAAAACTATTCTCTGATACACCTCCAAATGACCATTTTCCCTGGAGAAAAACATGCTGGATTTTTAAATAATGAAATGAAACTGCGCAAAATGTATATGCCATGTACAGCTTCCCTGGGACACAGGGGCAAGAGTGGAGTGCATCCCACCCCAGGGGAGTCTGTGGATGTGCTTTCTGTGGAGACCGGTGCTGGGAGTGACCCCGAGTGACCCGAATTACATTCCACACACAGAAGCACCTGATGTGTTATCAGGGATGGAAACCCAGGAAAGCATAAAAGGCCTTGGGGATGCTGTGCCCCAGCTGGCCCTCCCCACATGCCTGGGCAAGGCCTGTCACCCCCAGCAGTTCTTGGGAGTCACTTTCTCTTGGCGTGAGTCCCTCCTCCCCTCCCCCACTTGTATTCTAGGGCCATACATTCCTCAGGCAATGCCAAATCCCAAGTATTTTAATGCCTGATATCTATCTCCCCATGGAGTTTTGCTTTATCATAAGGCCACTGGAAAGTTTTTTTTTGGTATCTCTTTGAAACAGATGTCAGCAAAAGCTCCCAGTGCAGATCAAGGGCAGGTTAAGGGCTTTGAGATGGGTCTGAATGTCCCTTTAACATCCTTCCATCTAATACCCAAATATACCTCGAGTCATTACCCTGTTTTTATAAGAAGCTCCAAACCATATGTTCAGGACCTAATTAAGCATACAAATCAAACCTTGGGATCAGGTGGCACTCTGTTTAAATATCTTAACCTTTTATGATTATCTTAATTTAGAGAAAATTCAAAACACATTCAGAAGTCTTAGAAAATGAACTAAGTAGGAATTTACAGGCCTGTTGTTTTTCTTGATGTCAGGGTCCTTTCTTTACAGGCCCAGCCTGGGTACCCGGAGAAGTCCTCTGGACTGGCCTCTGCCTTGGGCCTTGTAAGCTGAGCAAGGGTCACAGCTCGCTTTACCTGTCCAGCCTGAATCCCACCATCTCTGTTCTCTCAGCTGGCTTACCTCTTCCCACCGAGGAAGGATTTGAACACAATCAGGTATGGAATGAGTGGGTGAGAAATATTCCCCTAGCTTGTATTATTTCGGAACAGACCTGGTGGGAGCTTCTAGCAGGAGCTGAGAGAAGAATTGCTTAGGCCTGACCCATTGTGGCCGTGGCAGCTGGGGGTAAGATGACAGCAAGGAAGGGTCCCCTTTGCTGGTTCCAGGCCTATGCCAGGGGTAGGAATCAGGGCTGGAGATTGTTTTCTGTCTGACTCAGGTAGAACGGATGCGTGATCCGTGAGGCAAGGCTAACATGCACACACTCACCAAATCCCAGTGCCTTCCAGTGAGGTCATACAGCCTCTCAGCTCTTCATTCACCACAATTTATTTTTTTTTTTTTTTGTATTTTTTTAGGGCAGACCCTACAGGGTCTCATTATGTAGATCGGACTTGTAGTGATTCTCCTGTTTTCAGCCTCCCAAGTGCTGGGATTACAGGTGTGCGCCACCACGTGCAGTCTCAGTCCCTGTCTTAGTGCGTCCCGGAGGCGGGGCCAGCACAGCCCACCAGGGATTGAAGCCAGGCTGCTGTGCTGTGTCTAAGCAGGCCTTTTAGTCTGCTGAGCTATCAGGCTGGCCCCCATTCACCACACTTTTACTGAGCACTTGCTGTACGCTAGATCTGTTCCACGCGGTCTGCACAAGGACAGGAGACTGCCTTGAACACAGGTACCTAGCGCATGCAAAGACTGGGCTGGGTTGGGCCTAGAAAAGCTATTCTAATATTCTTGGGACAAGGTGACAATGTAACCTTCTCCATAAGGTCTCCTGCAAGCCACAGGGGGCCAAGTCAAACTGAAGTTTCAGATGAACACCATCTTTTCCTCCTTTTTTTCTTTCTTCTTCTTCTCCCCCCTCTCTTCCTCCTTTTCCTCCTCTTTCTACTTCTTTTCTTCATTTTTTTAAAACAGTGCTGGGGAACCAAACCCAGGGACCGCTGAGCTACATCCTACAGCCCTCTTATGTTTGGTTTTATTTTGAAGCAGGGTTTCACTACATTGCCCAGATGGGCCTTGAACTTGGAATGCTCCTACCTCAGCCTGGCTGGGCATGCACCATCATTCCTTTTCAGTCTCAGTGTATATTCCAAATATTCAATAGGACATAATTCTATTAAATAAGTATTTGTTATTTATTTAAGGCTCAAATTCAATGGTATGCCTTGTATTTGTATTAGTTAAATCTTGCAACTTGGCTTTAATAATACAAATCGATGGCAGTGATGATTCAGTGTTGTGTTCAATACTAATTTGGTGGAGTGGTGGTGGGGGGTAAGGCAACGAGAAAGCAGTCTTGGACCAGACCCCGTAGCTTACGTAACTTCACTTAGACTTCACCGCAACTCCATGATGTAGGCTCTGTCATCATCTTCATTTACCTAGGAGTGAACTGAAGCTCAGAGAGGTTAAGTGATTTGCCCGAAGGTGCCCAGCTGGACTCAAAGCACAGCTCTGTTGGACTTCAAAGCCTGGACTTCTTCCAGGGAGCCCCTGTGGTAAGCTGATGGCTATCTCTCCAGTTCTCGTTTTTCTAGCTGGCCTCGGCTTCTCTCAACTTCTTCCCCCCTTTTCCACAAATGTTCAAGGAGAGATCCACTCTCGTCAGATCAATGTCACTGCCATAATGAAAACCACCACCCGAGCCCACGAAGGGTGAGATCTGTGGGACCCTA